AGTGCCCAGAAAGTTAAACCCACACACAAACACACAATCCGCCAAAAAAAAAAAAAAAAAAAAAAAAATCACAGAGCAGGAGCAGGCAGACGAGTAAGAGAGCACGCGCAAGAGAGGGCTCACATCCGTCCTGGAGGAAGAACGGCACAGACGGAGGGAGGCTGGGGTTGGCAGAGACTGGGACGGAGGTCCCTCGGCCCCCCAGGAGCCTCCTTCATGGACCCGGGGATCCAAAGAGGGGCTGCCTCAACTTAGGATGGGCAACTGTGTCAAGTCTCCACTGAGAAATCTCTCAAGGAAGGTATGTTTCTGGAGTTCCCAAGATCTGGGACTGGGGATTGGGGGTATCTCACCATCTGTCCCAGAGGTTGGGCACGGAAGGGGTGGCTAGAACTGACTACCTTTACCAGGGTTTCTGTCAAGAGCTGCCTCCCTGCTCCTACCCCAGACACCCTCCTTTTACCGTTCTATGTTCCAGGCTCTGGGCATGGGGTTGTGGTGAAACTGTGTTTGGGAATTTGCACAAGGCTTAGGAAAGAAACTAGTAGCTTTGGGGTTTCTGGGATGTAAAATGAAAAGGGTGGATCCTTAAGATGTGAGTGAACTTGACTGGCACCCCTGTCATTCAAGGGACTGGCCACGTCCCTTAAAACTGGCAGGATCTGAAGATCCTTCTCAGCAGCAAGGCGGGGGGCTCATTCATATTCTTTTCGGGTCTGTGACCCTCTCTGATGCCCTCAAAGCCTTCAGGATCGTGGATTTGAACTAGATCCTGTTGCTACTGAAAGGAACCAAACAGAGTATATCCTCTTCTGCCACAATCATTTTTAAGTCAAAGCATCTCAAATAGGACCTGACTCGTTTTAGGGCCCAGGAGTTTTTCCATTAAGAAGCAGACTGCCCGGGAGATATGCTGAGCAGTGGGTGTATATAAGTCACTTTCTTTAGTGGCTTTATTGCTCCTACACTTGGGGTTTTTTTGTTTGTTTGTTTTTTGTTTTGTTTTTTTTTTTTTTGCAAGAATTCCTTTTGGAAAGAAAATAGTCATCTCTAAAGCATCTTTCATGCAAGGCTGGGCTTGCACCTGTAGGGCTTTGGGTTAGGTGGGCTCTGCCTGTTTTTCTAGCACTCTGTAGCCAGGCCATAGAAGAGACTCGGATATTATTTAAAGGAAGAAGGAATTATGGGGATGTTTTCCTCCAATTCTTCCATTTTCCAGACAAGGAACTTGATTGACATTCAGAGGGAGGGGTTAGGTGACTTACCTATGGCCTCGGGAGAGCTATAGGTGTCTCTGTCCCCAGCCCCATCCTCTCTTCTGGGTCAGTTTAACAGCCTCGCAATTTAGGACATTTGGGCTTTTCTGCTTGTCATCTCCCTCATTTGGCTAAGCTGCTCACATCAGATTCCTTTAATCTCCGCTGTTCCTTGGATCCTTCCAAGGGCTTGTTGTTTCTTCCATGGACACCTCCCCCATAATCTGTTATCTTCTTACGGGAGTCTTCTGCTTCGGAAGTGGCCTCCGCGCTGTTTCAGAGAAGCAGAAAGTGATCTGAATTAGCCCTCATGATAGGTTCCGTAGGAGCTTGAGGAAGTGAACTTAATAACGAGAATTATCCTTCTGTCCCACCCATCTTCCCTTATACAACGGCATGCTTAAGAGTCAGACTACACAGGTCTCCTCTTTCTGGCTATGTGGCCTTAGACAATTTACTTAACCTCTCTGTTCCTCGATTCCCTTGTCCATCCATCAATTGGGCATACCAATATTCACCTCTGAAGGTGATTCTGAAAATGAAATAAAGTGCCATGCACAGTACGCGGCATATCATAGTTAATAAATGTTAGTATTATTGTCATCATAATCATAATTTTTCCCCTTTGGGTTTTTAGAGAAGAAGGATGGAGGAGAAACAGAAAATAGGAGACATTCTGAGTTCATAGAGTAAGAAAGAAAAGATAAAAAACTTATTGCAGTCAATTTCATGTTTCTACCATAGTATTAACAATAGCTTTTTTTTTCTAAGTATCTACAACGTGACTAATGTTTGTTATCTCATTTTCTCTTTTCCACTATGTAGTTCTTTTGGCTGTTTTCTTGAGAAAGAAGCTGGACTCAGAGATAGAGCCTTCCCAAGTTTACGTAGTCGACAGGAAGCAGATCTGGGATTTAAACCCTGGTCTGTGTAAAATCAGAACTGGCATTTTATTTTTATTTTTTCCTCTATGAGAGGCCGCCCCTCTCTTTCTCCTGCTGTCAGAAATGTCATTCATAGATTTCTAGATCTGACCTTAGAAGCCATCTAGCCCAAATTCCCACTCAATGCATCAGTCCCCTCTCCGCTCACCAGGCGCTCCCTCATTCAACTTCTCCTTGAAGACCTTCAGCGAGAGGGAAGCTTTGACAGGCATTCTCTTGGCCGGCTTGTGTTATTAGAAAGCTGTTAGGTCATGAGGCATGCTTGCCCCTCCTGTTGCCATGCCACACTTAGGGGGTGTCGCCTGGGTGCCAGGAGAAATTGTCGGTCCATGGGCCACTTCCCATTTGGCTTCCTGAGCAGTATCTGGGGAACTGGAAATGGTGAGAGGCAGCTTGCACCAGGCTCAGAGCTGGGCAGGACCATGCTGTCAGGTGCCATCATTGGCCAGAGAAGAATTGCAGCCTCTGGGGCAACTTGGTGCCAGGCAGTATTATGATCAAGAGATGCAGTGGAAACTCCCCAGCTACCACTGCTCCAGTCTTCATAGGAGCGAATTCCTCTCCATCCTTCTCATTTCTCTCCTGATTGACAGATGCTCCCCCACTTCCCCGGCAGCCAGAAGAAAATGCCTTCTGGCACCCAGCATCTCTTAAATTACATCACTACCACCACCATCATCCTCGCCATCATTGCTATCACTATGGCAACTCTATTTATTCACCTCTTCTTGCCATGCCCTAGGCACCATGCAGAGCACTTTGTGTGTATAACTCATTTACTCGTCGTGGGAATCCTGTGATTAGTCATGATCGTCTCCCGTGGTATGGAGAAGGAAACTGGAGCACAGAGAGGTGAAATGACCTGCCCAAGGTCACACAGCAAGCAAGTGGCAGAGCCAGAATTTGTCCCTAAGACTGTTTGAGCCCAAAGCCAGCAGGCTAAATTGCCTCTTAGGTTTATTTATTTATTTTGACAGAGTTTTGGTCTGTCACCCAAGCTGGAGTGCAGTGGCGCAGTCTCAGCTCACTGTAACCTCTGCCTCCTGGGTTCAGTCAGTCTCATGCCTCAGCCTCCCAAGTAGCTGGGATTACAGGCGCCCACTACCACATCCAGCTAATTTTTGTATTTTTAGTAGAGGTAGGGTTTCATCATGTTAGCCAGGCTGGTTTCACACTCCCATCCTCAGGTGATCCACCTGCCTTGGCCTCCCGAAGTGCTGGAGAGCAGGCGTGAGCCCCGGTGCCCGGCCTGCCTCTCCGAGTTCTGTGCTACCTGCTGCCTCCCCACCTTCCTGGGTTATGCTGTCTCCGAGCCAAGTGCAGAAGATTCAGCCAGAAACAAAAACACTGATTCTCTGCAGACATCTCCTGAGACTGGTTCCTGGGATTAGGCCAGTCACTGTCATCTAAGGCATGCTTTGATCCACTCTCCCAGATGGGAAAGTCTCTCTTGTTCTGCCTCACTCTGGTCTAGGTCCCAGGAGTCTGAGCGAGTGCAGCTGAGGCTCTGAATCGTACCTCTTTGGGATATTAGACCAGAAGGGGCCCTTGGTCTATCCGACATCCCTCAAGTTCTGAGATCACCTAAAATGGACATTTATTGCACTCATCAAACTTAACCCTGGGACTGAGTTCCTTCACCTCTGACCTGAGTAGCTGCTTCCCCTTTGAGCAACCAGAATGCTGCAGCACCCTCTCTAGGCCTGGGAAGTTAGAAGGGAGTCTTGGTCCGTAGCCCTGAGGGGGTTTGGGGAGAGAACAAGGTGGGCAGGAGGTTGTTCTGCTTCTCAGCCTGGAAGGACAGGTTGCCCCAGGGTCTTGGGATGTTCTCCTAGGCAGGACCTTTTTTTTTTTTTTTTTGAGATGGAGTTTTGCTGTCACCCAGACTGGAGTACAGTGGCATGATCTCAGCTCACTTCACCCTCCACCTCCCAGGTTCAGGCAATTCTCTTACCTCAGCCTCCCAAGTAACTGGGATTCCAGGCAGCTAATTTTTGCATTTTTAGTAGAGACAGGGTTTCACCATGTTGGCCAGGCTAGTCCTGAACTCCTGACCTTGTGATCCACCTGCCTTGGCCTCCCAAAGTGCTGGGATTACAGGCATGAGCCATCGCGCCTAGCCAGGCAGGGCCTTCTTTGCCCTGTAGGAATCTGGCTGCAAGTAGAATGCAGTAGGATGGAAGGATAGCTATGCAGACCTGCAGTTTTCAGGCAGTCCTAGGGTTTCAGCTCCTGTCACTCCTTGGGAAAGTCCTACTCTAGCCAGATCCCCCCATGTTGAAGGAGGGCATGCAGGCTCTGGGCTGAAGGCAGAGTGCAGGAGCTGGATTCCGGAGAGGCACTGGGCATCCTGGGGGGCCGGGGAGAAATGAATGTTGTGTCTGGATGTCCTAAGAGGAAGGTCTGTGAGCAGTGCTGACTTTTTATAGCTGCATGGGAACCTTCAGGGAGGAGGATGGGTTGGTCAGGGCCTGCGAGCACAGCTATATTCGGTAAGCAGAGAAGGCCCCTGCCTTAGCCTCCAGAGGTCCAACGCTCTGGGTCAGGCAGGGAGCCAGGGAAGAAGGGGGGCGGGGTGGGGGGAGGAAAAGGAGAACCGGGGGATGACAGAGTGTCTAGTCTCGAAATCACAAGCCGGGTAGAATCCTACCTGCAGATGTGCCTTGTGTGGTCTACCCCGTACTTTAAATCAGATCTGGTTACACTGGGCTGGAGTTAAGCAGTGCTACCTCTTCAGAGGGGGTGCCATCTCAGGCCGGGCGCAGGGGTTCACGCCTGTAATCCCAGCACTTTGGGAGCCTGAGGCAGGAGGATCACCCGAGGTCAGGAGTTCGAGACCAGCCTGGCCAACATGGTGAAACCCCATCTCTACTGAAAATACAACAGAAACAAAAAAGTCGGATGTGGTGGTGGATGCCTGTTAATTAATCCCAGCTATTTGGAAGGTTGAGACAGGAGAATAGCTTGAATCCAGGAGTCAGAGGTTGCAATGAGCCAAGATGGTGCCACTGCAGTCCAGCCTGGGTAACAGAGTGAGACTCTGTCTCACACACAAAAAAGGGCAGGGGCACCATCTCCACTTTGCCCCAGCCCCCACCTCTCATTTGTGTCATCAAGGGCACCTGTATTTGCAACCCGCATTCCGGCAGACCAGCCGAGTCTGGTCTCCACACTGTTGGCTCCAACTGCCCTCACAGCCTTCCAGCGGGGATCTGGCTGGGGTAGGGCAAACCCATTTGGGAGCTGGGAGGAATGACAGCCCCGAAGATTGATTGAACTGGGATGCTGGAAGCATTTTGGGAAAGGATGTTGTTTCATTAGGCTCTGAGTGAACACCTCCTGTTGGTTAGAATGGAAGCCTCCCTCTGCTCCTGTCTCTTCATGCACATGAGTGTGTGATTCTGTGCATACGGATGTGCCTGTGTGTGTATGCACATGTGTGTGCATGTGTGCGTATGTATGCATGTGTGTGCACATGCGTGTGCATTGTGATGTGTGTGATGCGTGTGCATGTGTGTGTGCACGTATGCACGTGCCACACAGAGGGCATCACATTAAGCTCTCCCTGGAACCAGCATTTCCATCAAGGACTGGAGACTTCGTCTGTTGGACCAATTTGATGCCTGTACCTGTGCACACTCAGGGATCTCAGGGTCCCCTCTTGCAGAAAGTCCCTCCTGGGACCCGGAGCCAGGCTGGGCAGGGAGGTGATACCTTCCCTCTCTTTTGTATTTGCTTGGTGCTGGCTGAAGATGCGCCAGGAGGAACAGACCAGCTACATGGTGGTGCAGACAAGCGAGGAGGGGCTGGCGGCGGACGCCGAGCTCCCGGGACCGCTCCTGATGCTGGCCCAGAACTGTGCCGTCATGCACAACCTGCTGGGCCCTGCCTGCATTTTCCTGCGCAAGGGCTTCGCCGAGAACAGGCAGCCTGTACGTAAGTTGGCCCGGTGGAGCCTGCTGAACTCGGTTTCACAGGGCGCAAGGAGGTGCTGGGAAGAAGGGGTCTACACAGAGCTCATGCCCCCAACTTGTGAATCTAATCCCCAGATTTCCATTCATGGCTACGAAGTGCTGGTGTGAGTCCATAGCCACCAGCAAAATAATAATACTATTAGATACATTGTTTTGAGCACTTAATAGGTGAGCGTTATGCCTAGTGTGCCGGCGTATTGCCTCATTTAAGCCTCAGAGCAACCCTAAGAGGTGGGTGCTTTTATCATCCCCATTTTGCAGATGAGGAAACTGACTTGCAGAGGTCACATGCTGAAGGTAACAGCTTGTCGGTGGTAGAGGTAGGATTCACACTTGGTTAGCAGGACTCAAGAGCCTCGTGCTCCTAACAACAACTCTGTATACCGGCACTATCCGGTAGAACTTTCTACAATGCTGGAAATATTCTAAACCCCGTGCTCTTCCATACGGTAACCACTAGCCACGTGTGGCTATTGACCACTTGAAACGTAACTAGTGCAACTAAGGAACTGAATTATGGGTTTTCTGTTATTCGAACTCAAATTTACATAGCCACATGTGGCTAGAAGCTTCTGAATTGGACAGCTTTTTACAAGTAGCTAAATAGTCAAAGAGACGGCTGGGCACGGTGGCTCACACCTGTAATCCTAGCACTTTGGAGGCCGAGGCGGGCAGATCATGAGGTCAGGAGTTCGAGACCAGCCTGACGAACATGGTGAAACCCCGTCTCTACTAAAAATACAAAAATTAGCTAGGTGTGGTGCCACACACCTGTAATCCTGGCTACTCAGGAGGCTAAGGCAGGAGAATCACTTGAACCAGGAGGCAGAGGTTGCAGTGAGCCAAGAGTATGCCACTGCACTCCACTCTGGGTGACAGAGCGGGACTCCGTCTCAAAAAATATGTATAAAGAGAGGAAAGGAATAATGAGGATGGTATAGATGTAAACATTTGTAGGTTGCATTTATTGAAGGCCACATGCTAGACACTTGACATAGCTTGTCTCACTGAATGCATGATAAGGCCCTGTGAGGTGGGTACTGGTGTTAACCCATTTTATAGATGAGGAGACTGTGGCTCAAAGAACAGAGTGAGCTGCCTGAGGAGGTAGATCTGAGCTTCATGCTCAGGTCTATCTGCCTCTAGGGCCCAAGTGCTTCTCCCCGACCACATGAACTGGGGAGAAAGGAGTGTTTCCCGTACCCTATACCCACCTGACCCTGAGTTGCTGCACTTGATGAGTCCCTGCCACATCAGTGGGCATCCCTGGCTCTACTCCAGGGCAGAGAACACACATCGCTACTGCTCTGCATGGGCAGTGTGTCCAAGGACCAGCCTTCAGGACTCAGCAGACCAGCTCCGGTGGCAGGCACACCCCCTGAAGGGCCACCTGGCTTTGCTGCCTCCTGGATTCTGGGCATACTGGAAGAATGGAAGGGGCTGCCATGGGGTCAGGAGTGCCGGTTCCTCCCGAGTCCTGCAGAACTGGGCCCTGGAGAAGTGGGAGGCTGCTTAAGGCCTGATGCATGGGAGAGGATGTATTAGGTCTCAGTAGCTGGTCCTAGGGAGTGTGCATGTATGTGTACACACATGTACTTGCTCACTCGCTTTCACTGACTGCTGGGATGACCCATTGCACAAAGCATCCTTTTTGGCCACTCAAGAACATCTAGGAACATACGGAGTCGTGTTGGAATGGCTCTGACCTATCCTTGTTGTTTTTTGTTGTTGTTTTTTGTTTGTTTGTTTGTTTTTGAGACAGCCTCTCTCTGTTGCCCAGGCTGGAGTACATTGGTGCAATCTTGGCTCACTGCAATCTCCACCTCCCATCCCAGGCTCAAGTAAACCTCCTGCCTCAGCCTCCCGAGTAGCTGGGACTCCAGGCGTGCACCACCATGCTTGGCTAATTTTTAAAGAGTTTCTTTTTTTGTAGAGATGAGGTCTCACTATGTTGCCCAGGCTGGTCTCGAACTCCTGGCTTCAAGTGATCCTCTCACCTTTGCCTCACAAAGTGCTGGGATTGCAGCTGTGGGCCACTAGGCCTGGCCCATGGTGAGCTTTTTAGGTGAATGTCCATGCAGTCATCTCAGAGACATGCCTCCCTGCAGGTGACTCCTACCCCCACCCTGGCGGAGCTGGGGGCTTGCAGCCTGCCCTCTCCAAGCTCACACCTGCTCTCGTCACTGTCCTGCCACACAGAGCTACCTCTGAGCTCTCAGTCCTGTGCACCCAGTTGTCCCATGAGATGTGACTCAGCAGCCCTTCCCTTTCTAGATGATCTGCACATTTTCTGACGCCGTCATCTTTTGTCCTGGGGCCAGTTGGGAGTGGCTGTCTCTACCCACCCTGGCCCTGTTGGCTGGAACTGCCCGTGTGCACAGTGGGGATGCCACACGCTCACTGTGGCATGCCCGCGTGTCTGTGTTCATGAGAGGTATGCCCATACCTGTGTGAGCCTCTTCAGGATGGGCACACCTACCTCGTGTTCTCCCTGCCCAAAAGCAGAGAGCTGCAACTTGGGGCGAGGATGGATGCTGAAGGCCACGTTTGGAGTCTACTAACTAGGTCCAGCTGGGCACCTATATCCATTTCATGCCAGTCTGTCTCCTGGGCATGCCCGGGATAACTGGCACCTCACCAACCAGGCCTGCTCTTTGGAGATATCGCTGCCATCTGTTCTGACGCCTAGACTCAGGAGTTGCCTCAGTTCCCAGGAGACCTGGGTGCCACTTGAGGCTGGAGATGGGTGCTTTTTGGACCCTGGCTGCAGCCACAGCACCAGTGGCCCTGGGGTCCTCTGCGGTGTCCCGTGACAGGGCAATGAAGAGGGACAGGGGGCGAATTGGAGAAGGTGGGGCAGTGCCCAGGAAGCGGGCACAGCCCCATTCTGCTGCCATGTCTCCTCCTGACTCCTGCCTGCCCTCCTCCCCCACTTCAGGATGGCCCCGCTTTCTCTCCCCTCCAGGGCCTCTTCTGTTGTCTTGCAGCCTCTGTTCCCTGCTCTTCCTGTTTGACTGGGTGGTGGTCTCTCCTCTCTGTTGTGACCTCCCCAGACCCTGTTTACTTTGCAGGTTTTTGCCACCAGACCAACTTTGTTCCCTGACTCCTTCTTCTTTTTTGAGACAGGGTCTCGCTCTGTTGCCCAGGCTGACAGAGTATGATGGCACCATCATAGCTCACTACAGCCTCAGACTCCTGCTGACCCATTCTTGTATCTGGAACAAGGGGCTGGGGGCACAGAGGCTCTGTTCCCAGGCTGGTGGGGCTGGTGGGTTCCTCAGGCATCTCCTGTTAGGGGCCCAGGAGCCTCCATGTCTAAGGGAGATGTGAGGCTTTCTTTTCCCCTCAAGGTCCTGATCCAGGCACACCCCTGCTGAGTCCTTGTCACCTCGTTTCCAGTGCCTGCTGCCATTTGGATGGCCCCCAGGTTAGATATGTTGTGACTTCCAGTTCCCTTGTTGCAGCTAATAGGACATGTTCTTTTGTTTCAGGATAGATCACTGCGACCAGAGGAAATTGAAGGTAAAACTTGGCCCCCTGTGGTAAAGGACTACCCAGCCCTCCAGGAAGGTGTGGGGAGGGAGGTTGATGGGAAGAGAGGCCCCCTGGGAACGGGGCCTGGTGCCGTGCTGGGTATCTTCTGTGAAAGCAGCTGCTGGAGGTGTGCACAGGAGGCGAGAGACATGCCCCAGCGTCCTGGGAAACTCCTGGGCCCCTCTTGCCACGCTGGTGGGCCCTTGGGCTGCCTTGGCCCACAGAGGCTCTGCGGTCCCCACCCCAACCACACCCACCTGTGCTTACTTCCCCAGAGCTCCGAGAGGCCTTCAGAGAGTTCGACAAGGACAAGGATGGCTACATCAACTGTCGGGACCTGGGCAACTGCATGCGCACCATGGGCTACATGCCCACCGAGATGGAGCTCATCGAGCTGTCCCAGCAGATCAACATGAACCGTGAGTCCCTCTCCCAGCCGCCTGCGTCCCTTCCTGTCCTCGCTTCGCAGTCCTCTGCAGTCAGACAGGACTGGCTGCAAATTCTGCATCCACCTCTTTCCAGCTCTGGGAGCTGGGGCCAACCACTGACCCTCTCTGAGTCTGTTTCCTCACCTGTAAAATGAGGGCTGAATTGGAAGCCTGGAGCCCAGAAAGCAGATTAGGGAATATGCAGAAAACAGTCCAATCACTGGCTCACAGGAAGAGCTGAACAGAGGGTTGCTGTTCTGATGATGTTTTTCTCTGTCTGATGAGCAGGTCAAGGAGGGGTTGCCTGTTCCGTCAGGTGCCTAGTTGGAGACGGGGAATGGCGAGATCGGGGATGACCTAGCCCTTTCCTCTTTCTCCAGTGGGTGGCCATGTAGATTTTGATGACTTCGTGGAGCTAATGGGGCCGAAACTCCTGGCAGAGACAGCAGATATGATTGGTGTAAAGGAACTGCGAGATGCTTTCCGAGAGGTAACGGGCAGAGGCAGGCAGGTGTGGGGGTGAGAGGGCTGTTGGAATCCTATCTGCAGGATGACTACTTCAAAAGAACCCTGAGCTCCAAGTCCCAGGTCAGGGGAGGGAGCTTAGACAGAAAAGGGTCTCTGGTAAAGGAGGGCCCCGATACTGAGAAGGAGCTCAACTTTGGGATCTGCCGCTGCCAGTTGCCATGTTGGGGCCACCTCTCGTTCCTTCCTGCCCTCTCTAGTTTGACACGAATGGTGATGGGGAAATAAGCACCAGTGAGCTGCGAGAGGCCATGAGGAAGCTCCTGGGTCATCAGGTGGGACACCGAGACATAGAGGAAATTATCCGAGATGTGGACCTCAATGGAGATGGACGAGTGGACTTTGAAGGTAGGCGGGGTTTGAAAGTGGGAGAGAACAAGCCAGCAGTGGCCATCCATGGGGCCTTCCAATTGTGTATCCACCATGCAACTAGCAATCTGCCCTAAATTTCCAGTGCCCGGCCCTTTTATCCTCCTATCCCTCCCTCCATGCACCCCTCTAATGCACCTCCCACCTCTACCCCATGCATCTGTTCATGCATCTGTCCATCCGTCTGTCTATCCATCCTCTACCTACCCATTCATCTGTCCATGTATCCATCCATCCATTCATCTACCTACCTATCCATCTTTTCATCATCTATCCTTCCATTTTTCTACTCATCCATCAATCTATCCTCTACCTATCCATCCATCAATCCATTTACACATCTACCCATTCATCTACCTATATATACATCTGTCCATTATCCATCCATCCATCCATTTATCCATTGATCCCTTCATCCGTCTGTCCATCCATCCATCCATCCAGTCATCTACCTATCCATTCATCTTTCCATCCATCCATCCATCTCCCTATCCGTCTGTCCATCTTTCCATGTTTATCTCTCCATCTTTTCATCTGTTTATCTCCTTATCTGTCCAGATGTCTATTTATTCCTCCATCTCTAAATAATCATTCCTATAACCATCTATCCATGCATTTATCTGTCCATTCATGCATCTATTCATTCTTCTCTACATTCACCCATGAATCTATCCATGTATTCATCTACGCCTCTCTGTGCATTCATACTTCTCTACTTCCGTTTACATATTTATGTCTCTCTGTCTGCATATACATCACCCATACTTGCATTGATCTGTCCATCTATCTGTTCAGTCATTTCCCCATCTATATCCATCTGCTCATCCGTTCACCCATCCATGTGTCCATCTGCACCCATCCTTCTCTATCCATTTATCTCTCTACCCACTCAGGCATCCATCCATGGTAGGTATTTTCTGAACATTACCTTCCTCAACTTGACACTCAGGCTCCTGAAGATCTGACCACAGCTCACCTCCCTTCGTTCACACTCCACCAAAATACTTGTGATACTTGTGATCGGGGAACCTGGTAGGGTCCTTTGAATACACTGATCTTTTTGCCAGGAGGGCGTTTTTGTTTGTTTTGTTTTGTTTTGTTTTGTTTTGTTTTTGAGGCAGAGTCTCATTCAGTTGCCCAGGCTGGAGTGCAGTGGCAGGATCTTGGCTCACTGCAACCTCCACCTCCTGGATTCAAGCAATTCTCCTGCTTCAGCCTCTCAATCTCACCCGGGATTACAGGTGCCCGCCGCCATGCCTGGCTAATTTTTGTATTTTTGATTAAGATGGGGTTTTACTATGTTGGCCAGGCTAGTCTTGAACTTCTGACTCAAATGATCCACCTGCCTTGGCCTCCCAAACTGCTGGGATTACAGGTGTGAGCCACTGTGCCTGGCCACCAGGAGGGCTTTTATCTTATTCTTCTCTTGGGCTAAGTTCTGTTAGCCCACGGGACCCAGTGGGACTGCTTCCTCTAGCACCCTTCCCTGGTTCCTCAGACTGAACTTCCTCTTTCCTGGGTTTTCACAGCGATCCAGACTCACCTGTTCCTCACACTGTCCCCTAACTGCTGGCTAGAGTTGTCTTCCCAATTGACTCTGAACTTTGAAAGAAGAAGAACCCTATTTTTTTAATCTCTGCATTTCCTGCATAACACAGCTAATGCTCAGTGAAAGGTTTTCTATTTCTTTATTTATTATTTTAAGACAGTCTTGCTGTGTCACCCGGCTGGAATGCAGTGGCGCCATCTCGGCTCACTGCAACCTCTGCCTCCCAGGTTCAAGCGATTCTTGGGCTGGCACTACAGGCATGCACCACTACACCCAGCTAATTTTTTGTAATTTTAATAGAGATGGGATTTTGTCATGTTGGCCAGGCTGGTCTTAAACTCCTGGCCTGAAGTGATCCACCTGCCTTGGCCTCCCAAAGTGCTGGGATTACAGGCATGAGCCACCTTGAAGAATCAATAATAATCATAATAGTTCTCATTTACTGTACGCTTATGTGTGGGCATTGTACTAAGTAGCTTTATGCATATTATTACATTTAATTCTCTGTGACTCTGTGGATTGCATTATTATAACTTCATGTTACTCGTGAGGAAACCGAGGCTCAGAGAAGTAATATGACTTGCCCAAGATTGCCTACCTATTAAGAGGTAGAGCTAGGGCATAACCCCAGGCCTGAAATCACAACTGTATGTAGTCTTGTGCATTCTGCCATGCGAGGCACCACGGGATACAGGGAAAGGGTAAAATGTTGACTCTGCATGCCAGGTACTTGCATTCTGAGCATAAAGACAAGATAAGCATGTGCCGGAGACTGTGAGTGTCCAGAACACAAAGGTTGGGAGGTTTTCTCTCAGGAGCAGTCAGCCTTCAAGGCCGGGGAGTGTGGATAGTTGGCGAGAAGGCTTTGCTACCACCAGATCCGAAAACCTCAGGTCTCCCTGAGTCCAGGTAGTGCCCACCAGAGATGACAGCCTTGCTCTTGAAAGCCTGGCATCCCCCGTTCATCCTCTGAGGAGGTATTGTCCATATGCTGTGTGCTAAGATCTGGTCTCCCTTGAAGAGCCCAAGACCAGCAAGAAAAGCAGAGAAAACAACAGTGTGGTCCATGCTGTGCTAGGGAAGCACAGTGGGCTGTGACAGAGGGGGCACCTGTATCAAGCTGCAGGGAGGGATCAGGGAAGACTTCCTGGAGGTGGTTATAAATAATTAGAGCCCCCCAAAATGGGAAGAGCCAACAGATGAGGGGGAAGGGAGGGGTATTTACCCAAATGAGTTGAAAACTTACATCCACACAAGTTTGTACATAGATGCTTATAGCAGCTTTATTCATACTTGTCAAAACTTGGAAACAACCGGGGTGTCCTTTCAGGAAGCAAATGGATAAATAAACCGTGGTACATCCAGACAATGGGATATTGCTCAGTGCTAAAAAGAGATGAGCTAGGCTGGGTGCAGTGGCTCATGCCTGTAATCCCAGCACTATGGGAGGCCAAGGTGGGTGGATCACTTGAGGCCAGGAGTTCAAGACCAGCCTGGCCAACATGGTGAAACCCTGTCTCTATTAAAAATACAAAAAAATTAGCCGGGTATGGTGGTGTTCACCTGTCATCTCAGCTACTCGGGAGGCTGAGACACAGAATCGCTTGAACCTGGGAGGTGGAGGTTGCAGTGCGCCGAGATCACACCACTGCACTCTAGTGTGGGCCACATAGTGAGACTCTGCCTCAAAAAAAAGAGAGATGAGCTGTCCAGCCTTGAAAAGACATGGTGAAGAGAGGACGCAAATGCATATTACTAAGTGGAAAGCCAATCTGAAAATGCTGCAGACCGTATGATTTCATCTATGCGACATTCTGGAAAAGGCAAAACTATGGAGACAGTAAGAAGATCAGTGGTTGCCATGGGTTAGGGGAAGGGAGGGATGAATAGGCAGAGCACAGAGGATTTGTAGGGCAGTGAAACTATTCTGTAGGAGGCCAGGTACAGTGGTTCATGCCTGTAATCCTAGCATTTTGGGAGGCCAAGGTGGGCGGATCACTTGAGGTCAGGAGTTTGAGACCAGCCTGGGCAACATGGTGAAACCCCATCTCTACTAAAAATACCAAAAAAAAAAAAAAAAAAAAAAAAAAAAAAAAAAAATTAGCTAGACCTGGTAGCACATGCCTGTAGTCCCAGCTACTTGGAGAGCTGAGGTGGGAGGATTGTTTGAGCCCATGAGGTAGAGGCTGCAGTGAGCCAAGTTTGTGCCACTATACTCCAGCCTGCGTGACAAAGTGAGACCCTGTCTCAAGTAAGTAAATAAATTTTAAAAAATTAAATTAGGCCAGGCGCGGTAGCTCACGCCTATAATCCTAGCACTTTGGGAGGCCGAGGTGGGTGGATCACCTGAGGTCTGGAGTTCAAGACCAGCCTGGCCATCATGGTGAAACCCCGTCTTAAAAAAAAAAAAAAAAAAAAAAAAAGGGCCGGGCGCGGTGGCTCAGCCTGTAATCCCAGCACTTTGGGAGGCCGAGGCGGGTGGATCACGAGGTCAAGAGATCGAGACCATCCCGGTCAACATGGTGAAACCCCGTCTCTACTAAAAATACAAAAAATTAGCTGGGCATGGTGGCGTGTGCTTGTAAACCCAGCTACTCAGGAGGCTGAGGCAGGAGAATTGCCTGAACCCAGGAGGCGGAGGTTGCGGTGAGCCGAGATCGCGCCATTACACTCCAACCTGGGGTAACGAGAGCGAAACTCCGTCTTAAAAAAAAAAAAAATTATACGATTCTGTATGATATAATAGAGGATGCATGTCATTAAACATTTGTACAAACCCATAGAATGTACATAGCCAAGAACGAACCCTGATGTAAACTGTGGCCTCCAGGTGATAACGATGTATAGGTGTAGGTTTCTCAGTTCTAACAAACGCACCACTCTATGTGGAATGTTGTTGGTGTAGGAGGCTATGCATACATGGGGACAGAGTTGTAGAAGAAAAATCTCTGTACTTTCTACTCCATTTTGCTGTAAACCTAAAATTGCCCTTAAAAAGAGAGAAGGCCGGGCGCGGTGGCTCAAGCCTGTAATCCCAGCACTTTGGGAGGCTGAGGCGGGTGGATCACGAGGTCAAGAGATCGAGACCATCCTGGTCAACATGGTGAAACCCCGTCTCTACTAAAAATACAAAAATTAGCTGGGCATGGTGGCGTGTGCCTGTAATCCCAGCTACTCAGGAGGCTGAGGCAGGAGAATTGCCTGAACCCAGGAGGCGGAGGTTGCGGTGAGCCGAGATCGCACCATTGCACTCCAGCCTGGGTAACAAGAGCGAAACCCCGTCCCCCCCACACCAAAAAAAAAAAAAAAAAGAGAGTGAGAGAGAAGGGGCTAGGCATGCTGGCCACATCTGTAATCCCAGCACTTTGGGAAGTCAAGGCAGGAGGATCACTGGAGCCCAGGAGCTGGACGTTACAATGAGTTATAATCATGCCACTGCACTCCAGCCTGGACAACAGAGCCAGACTCTGTCTCTACATTAAAAAAGAAGGGGCCGGGTGCGGTGGCTCAAGCCTGTAATCCCAGCACTTTGGGAGGCCGAAGCGGGTGGATCACGAGGTCAAGAGATCGAGACCATCCTGGTCAACATGGTGAAACCCTGTCTCTACGAAAAATACAAAAAAAAAAAAAAAGTAGCTGGGCATGGTGGCACATGCCTGTAATCCCAGCTACTCAGGAAGCTGAGGCAGAAGAATTGCCTGAACCCAGGAGGCGGAGGTTGCAGTGAGCCGAGATCGCACCATTGCACTCCAGCCTGGGTAACAAGAGCGAAACTCTGTCTCAAAAAAATAAAAATAAAAAAGGAGGAGGAGGAGGAGGAGAAAGGGGGAGGATGTGGGTACAGGTTGCTTTCAGAAAAGCTAAGAGGAGACCAGCCTGGCCAACATGGTGAAACCGTCTCTACTAAAAATACAAAAATTAGCTGGACATGGTGGTGCACACCTGTAATCCCAGCTACTCAGGAGGCTGAGGCAGAAGAATCGCTTGAACCCAGGAGGCAGAGGGTGCAGTGAGCCCAGATCGCACCACTGCGCTCCAGCCTGGGCAACGGAGCAAGAGTTCATCTCAAAAAAAAAAAAAAAAAAGAAAAAAGCAAAATGCTGAGAGGTGAGAGCGAGGGCGCCAGCTGCACTTAAGGGGCTGAAAAGAAGATCTGTGTAGTTGGAGCACAGAGGTTGGTAGTTAGCCTGAGAGATACGGCTGGAGATGTCAGCTGGGCCAGATCAGGGAGGACCATGAGGCTGTGTCAGGATATTGGGCATTTTCCAGTGGAGAGCCGTGGGAGGTTTATGCAGGGGTCAGATCCGCAGATTAGAACACTCTCACTCGCTGCTGCGTGCATGGATTGGAGCCAGTGGAATGGATGGGGGACCAGCACAGAGCTGGGGCAGTGGCAGGAGGGGAGGTCTGAAGGCAGCATCCTGGGGAGGCCTCAGCTGCTGTCCGCTCCCACCTGCTCCTCTGTCTTCTAGAGTTTGTCCGGATGATGTCCCGTTGAGGCCGTGAGGGCCCCTCCAGGACTGCCAAGCTCCCAAGGCGGGGCGAAGAGGAGCCAGAGCTGGCCTCACCCACCGTAGCCGCCAAGAGCCCAGGATGTACTGTCGGATGGGGCCTGCCTGCACCCCGGGGAGGCGCCCACCCCGGACCCCCACCCCTCCGCACTGTGAAAGACTAACTCCTGCAACTGGAAAGCGGGGGCGCCCGCCGACGAGGAGGCCACCGTGCCAAGCCGGCAGAGGTCATGCCAGGCGCCAAGTGCCATGTGCCCAGCTGCTGCTGGCTGGGTGGGCCAGGAAGCCTACCAGCAGACCCCACACAGCATGTCTGCCCCAGGGCAAAGCCTCCCTCCTTCGCTCTGCGCCCGTCCCAGCTCGCCTCAGCCCTGTTATCTCAGAACCAATAAAAATATTTCCAAGAGCAAGATCGCCATGACGGTCTTTCCTCCTGGGGCTTGGTTAGATGACCCTAACATTTCCTGAGCACCAACTGCATGCCTAGAACCAGCTGAGCATTTCTGCATTCAGCATTATTTAATTAATTCATTTATTTATTTATTTATTTTGAGACGGAGTTTCGCTCTTGTTACCCAGGCTGGAGTGCAATGGCACGATCTCGGCTCACCGCAACCTCCGCCTCCTGAGTTCAGGCAATTCTCCTGCCTCAGCCTCCTGTAATTTATTTATTTTGAGATGGAGTCTTACTCTGTTACCCAGGCTGGAGTGCAGTGGCCTGATCTCGGCTCACTGCAACCTCCACTTCCCAGGTTCAAGCGATTCTCCTGCCTCAGCCTCCCGAGCAGCTGGGATTACAGGTGCTTCTCCACCACATCTGGCTAATTTTTGTATTTTTAGTAGAGACAGGGTTTCACCAGGTTGGCCAGGCTGGTCTCAAACTCCTGACCTCAAGTGATCTGCCTGCCTTGGCCTCCCAAAATGCTGGGATTATAGGTGTGAGCCACCGTGCCTGGCCAATGTGCATTTGTTGAGCACCTATTATGTACTCAGTGACTTCCATTCTCATCCATGGGCCAGAACCTGGGACTGCTAGGGGAGACTGAAGAATGTGTTTAGCTGGGTACTCAGCTTCCTCAAACAAAATCAGGTTCTATAAGAAGAGAAGTGGCTGGTGCGGTGGCTCACGCCTGTAATCCCAGCACTTTGGGAGTCTAAGGCGGGTAGATCATGAGGTCAGGAGTTCAAGACCAGTCTGGTCAGGATGGTGAAACCCTGTCACTACTAAAAACAAAATTACAAAAATTAGTCAGGTGTGGTAGTGGGCACCTATAATCCCAGCCACTGAGGAGGCTGAGGCGGGGAATTCCTTAAACCTGGGAGGCGGAGGTGGCAGTGAGCCGAGATCACTCCATTGCTCTCCAGCCTGGGCAACACAGCAAGACTCCCTCTCAAAAAAAAAAAAAAAAAAAAAAAAAAAAAAAAAAAAAAGAAGAAGCATCCAGCGGGATCTGCATCACTTCTGACTTTCTGGAACTTTCATAGGGATTGGAGAGACAGACATGAGAAAAACATGATAACAGGATTACAAATTGTGACACTGCTGTTAAGGAAAAGTATAGGGACCTTCGGCAGGGTATAATAAGGAGGCCTGGCCTCCTCTGGGGAGGTCAGAAAAGGCTTGCCTAAGGAAGTGATGACAAGACTTTGTCCTGGAGGAAATCGCAGTATGTGTGGACAGGCAGATATCGATAGGCATAGCTGCCAGTGGACGGGCGCCGTGGCTCCCGCCTGTAATCCCAGCACTTTGGGAGGGTGAGGCAGGCAGACACTTGAGTTCAGGAGTTCAAGAGCAACCTGGCTAATATGGCAAAACCCCAACTTTACAAAAATAGAAAAATTAGCAGGGCTTGGTGGCACATGCCTGTAGTCCCAGCTACTTGGGAGGCTGAGTCAGGAGAATCGCTTGAACCCAGGAGGGGGAGGCTGCAGTGAGCCGAGATCATGCCACCAGCTGAGGGAGTGAGACTCTGTCTAAAAAAAGAAAAATAGCTGCCGTCCTCTCTGCTGAGTGGGAAGAAGATGTGTAGCTGATAGGCCCAGGATTTGCTTGCTGTGTGACGTAGGGCCAGTCGCATCCCCTCTCTGCACGTCAACTCATATGTAACATGGGGTGATAAAGGATGGGGTCAGTGCACAGCAAGTGCTCTCAGGGCATTGTACGGCACTGCGCACCCCAGGGACTGCTATTTAGACTGCAGTGGAATCATGCAACTGAAAAGACCCATTGTAATTCGTTTCTATAGGTGAAGTCTTAAAGGAGCCCAAAGAAGAAGTTTGTGGGTAGAAGTTGTCCAGAGTCTTGGACAGGCTTGGGGTATACTTGGGCAGCTGTGTGCGGTGGACAGTGTAATTCAAGCCACTGGTTCTCAAACCTTTACGTACAGCAGAATTGCTGGAGGATTTGTGAAGCCCAGATCGGGGCCAACCCCACCCCCTCCGCCAGTGATTCTGATCCTGTGTCTGGGGTGCGATCCATGAATCTGCATCTCTCACAAGTTCCCTGAGGATGCTGATGCTGCCAGTCTGTGGACAACAACCTGAATAGCACTGCTGTAAATCCCAGACACAAGGGAGGCAGGTGTGCCTCCAGGAGGCTGGGGGAGGCTGCAGGGTTGACGGCTGGGGGTGGGAGGTGGGCAGAGCATCCCCCGCCCCCTGTGTTGCCGCAGAGGGAGGATCCTTATTCTCAGACCTGGCAGGAATGTGGAAGCATCGTGGGCCCCAGCCAGAAGCCCGGGTAATCCTCATGTCCCTGAGGTCAGTGGGGCTGGGAGCTCCAAATTCACTCTCATAATCCAATTCTGAGACTAAGCCCTTGGCTCTGTGCCCTGCTAGGCAGGCCTGCAGCTCTGCCTGCCGCTGTACTAGCTTGGCTCTGCCCAGAGACTCCAGAGCTCCACTGTTTCAGAAACACAATGGGCTTGGAAGGCAATGTGCACGAAGAGGGCTTCTGTGGCCATCTCTATCAGCTGGCAGGGTGAGCCCGCAGGAACACCACTCAAGATAGACTTAGTGATAAACTAGGACTCCTTTGTCCCAGCATGTGGCTGCCTAAAATCAAAGATGTGGCAAGCCTGACCGACATGGTGAAACCCTGTCTCTACTAAAAATACAAAAATTAGTCAGGTGTAGTGGTGCATGATGGTAACCCCAGCCATTAGGGAGGCTGAAGCAAGAGAATTGCTTGCATATGGGAGGTGGAGGTTGCAGTGAGCTGAGATCACGCCACTGCACCCCAGCTTGGGTGACACAGCGAGACCCTGTCTCAAAAAATCATAATAAAATAAAATCATAGACATGGCAGCAGTTGTGACAAAGAAAATGGAGAATGTAGCCAGGCTACTGTTCAGAGGCCCCTTAATGCTCAGGAGAAGGGGGCCCAGGGGCAGGTCTTCTGCCTCCTCCCATGCTGAAGCTAGGGCTCCTTCCCTTTAGCTTGGCTTTTTGATGGTTTGTTCATTTTCAAATTATTTTTGTTTGCTTTTGTTTTGGCTCCCACCAGGAAATGACTTTTTTGTTGTTGTTTGTTTGTATGTTTGTTTTAGAGACAGGGTCTCACTCTGGAACCCAGGCTCACCTCATAGCTCGCTGCAGTCTTGAACTTTTGGGCTCAAGCGATCCTCTTGCCTCAGCCTCCTGTGTAACTAGGACTACAGATGTATACCAGCTGACTTTAAAATTTTTGTGTAGAGACAGGGTCTCAATCTGTTGCCCAGGCTGGTCTTGAACTCCTGGCCTCAAGCAACCCTTCCACCTCAGCTTCCCAAAGTGCTGTGATTATAGGAGTGAGCCACAGTGCCCAGCAAGTTGTCTTATATTTTGGGGCTCCTAGTATGATTGTTTGAAGAAAGGGCTCTGAGACTTTTCAAGAACAGATGCACTTTCCTAGGCAGAAGTTGTTTCTGCCACCCACACCACTACCATCCTGGGTGGGGAACTCTGGGTGTGTCATCTTAGAAAAGTTCTTTGTCTAAGACTGGGCAAGATGGCTCATACCTGTAATCCCAGCACTTTGGGAGGCCAAAGTGGGAGAATCACTTGAGGTCAGGAGTTTGAGACCAGCTTGGTCAACATGGTGAAACTCCATCTCTACTAAAAACACAAAAATTAGCCAGATGTGGCGGTGCATGGCTGTAATCCCAGCTACTCCGGAGGCTGAGACACGAGAGTCATTTGAACCTGGGAGGCAGAGGTTGCAGTGAGCCGAGACTGCGCCGCTGCATTCCAGCCTCCATGAGAGAGTGAGACTTTGTCTCAAAACAAAAACAAAAAGGAAAGCCCTTTGTCTGAAAGCTCTTCTTTTTTTTTTTTTTTTTGGAGACGGAGTTTCGCTCTTGTTACCCAGGCTGGAGTGCAATGGCGCGATCTCGGCTCATCGCAACCTCCGCCTCCTGGGTTCAGGCAATTCTCCTGCCTCAGCCTCCTGAGTAGCTGGGATTACAGGCACACGCCACCATGCCCAGCTAATTTTTAGTGTTTTTAGTAGAGACGGAGTTTCACCATGTTGACCAGGATGGTCTAGATTTCTCGACCTCGTGATCCACCCGCCTCGGCCTCCCAAAGTGCTGGGATTACAGGCTTGAGCCACCACGCCCAGCTGAAAGCTCTTCTATTGTGCCTGGATTTGCCTCCTACTGACTCATAAAGGACAATTTGTTTGCTCATTCATGCACACATGCCCTTGATGTTTACTGAACTCCTCCTATGTGCCAGGCTCCATGCAAGAATCCCTGTCCTCAAGGAGTTCAGACTCTCGTAGGGGTAACAGATCAGAAACCAGACAAATGTAATCCGGTGGCCTAAGTGCTACTTAGTAGTAGTACCCACTAGGTTAGCCTAGAGCCCTGGAGGTACATAAAAGTCACCCAATTCAATCTGGTGGGTGGGTGTGGGGAGGAATGGACAGATCTACTAAGACCTCAAGGATCAGCAGTGCTTCGTTAGGAGAGGTGGGCAGGTGGGCTGGGCATGGTGGCTCATGCGTATAATCCCAGCACTTTGGAAGACTGAGGTGGGTGGATCACTTGAGATCAGGAGTTCGAGACCAGCCTGGCCAACATGGAGAAAACCTCTCTCTACTAAAAACACAAAAACTAGCCAGGCATGGTGGTGTGTGCCTGCATTCCCAGCTACTCAGGAGGCTGAGGCACAAGAATAGCTTGAACCTGGGAGGCAGAGGTCTCAGTGAGCCGAGATCATTGCCATTGCACTCCAGCCTGGATTATGTAGTAAGACTCCATCTCAAAAAAAAAAAAAAAAAAAAAAAAAGAAACTCAAGGGAATTATTACTATAAAAGACTATAAAAGTCAGGAAAGTGGTTGCTTTTAGAGGGAAGGAGGGAAAGAGCTATGACTGTGATGAAGCCCTCTATGAAAAATACAAAAATTAGCTAGGTGTGATGGCACG